GAATTATGTAACCAGAGTTCTACAGTATTCTCATTCTGTCTGTAAAGATTATTTAGAATATTTTAGATTGTATGCACTTAAAAAGAAATGTCTGTTAGCTATATGCGCAATTTCTACTGATGACGATAATTGTGCAGTTTCTAACTCACTTTTCAGATCAGTTTTTGAAATGGCAAATTATCAGTGTTAGATTTAGTTCCAATTATTCAACTTAAAAAAATGTACATTTTGAAAGAGAGGAATAGAGAAATGGTAAGAAAGTTAGAGATTCAAATGAGAACTGAAACTCAATTGTAGTAGTCATTGTCAGAGTCACACAATCGAGGATCCATCACCTTTTATCTGTTTTTGCTCTTACCCACAAAATTGAGTGTGTAGAATTTGGTGACATCTATATGCTCCCCAGCTGGAGCAATGCTGTCAGCCAGTGGGGCTGTGGGAGAGACGAGCACATTTAGTACCTACTGCTGAGACCTGGGACAACCTCCATGCCAGAAGAGTGAATCTAGAGTGCCAACTGCATTGTTCCCTCCCCACTAAGAAGCTTGTTAAACCCGCCAGTTTTAGAGTTGTATTTGTAATTTGTATTTTTCCTCAAACCAAATTACCCAAGTCAAAAAAAAATCATTTTCAGAGCAATAATTACTACCCAACTGAATTTCTTACCTTTGTGGCTTTATCTTGAATCACCATTTGTGGAGATGGTATCTGCCTCCTTAAGATTGCTGGTGGACAGACACTTCATGACACAGCTGAACTCACCTTTGGAGGGGGAGAGCGGGCCTTTCTCCAATCGCAGCTAGTCCATCATTTGCAAAAGAGAAAATTCCCACTGAGGTGGCTGAAGTTCTGAGAGGGTACCAACTAAAATTTAAATCCTTAACTTTTTTTTTTCTCAGTACAGGGTAACTCAGGGTCTCACCTCAGCCCTGCTTTTAGCTGGTTAATTGTCTCACAGACCTTTCTGCCCAGGCTGCCCTTGAAATGAAATCCTCCGGATCTCAGCCTTCTGAGTAGTTAGGATTATAGACCCAACTCTAAATCATCTTTTTTTTTTTTTTTGCCGGTCCTAGAACTTGAACTCAGGGCTTGGGCACTCTGTCTTTGAGCCTCTCTGTGCTCAAGGCTAGCGCTCTATCATTTGAGCCACCACTTCCAGCTTTTTCTGTTTATGTGGTACTGAGGAATTGAACCCAGGGCTTCATGTGTGCTAGGCAAGCACTCTACCACTAAGTCACATTCCCAGCCATAAATCATCTTTTTTAAAAGCAAAATTACATTTTAATATTTTACATAAATTACCAAAGCGATAAGGTTGAAGGCATGTAGCACACTGTTTTTGTTGCTCTGGAAATATTGAGGACTGGATTTTCGTCAGTAATTTTTTTTCAACATGCCCCGAATTTTTTAGACTTTAAATATCAGTTGCAGTCTTCAAACTTGATTTCCCCATTAAGATCAAAAGAATAGAGAGGGTGGGAAGATTGAAGAGAGATCCAGAATAGTTTCTTAGCTTTACTATGCTTATAACTTGTGTGCTCAGAATTTTCCTTAGAATAGGAAGAGCTTTAAAATGTAGTCTGAATTAAATATTGATCCTTGGGGGAGGAGGGAGAATTACATTAATTCATTACATTAAACTAGACTCATTGCAGCCTTGTGACACCAGTACAGTCTCACTATCCCACGGATATATTAGAGCATATGTTTTCTATAATCAGGCACCTTCTGCTGCTTTTGAGAAAAACTTTTTGTTTAGATTTTAAACACTGCTAGAAAAGATCATCTGTGTTATTCTTAACGCTGCAGCATAGCCCAACACAAGTGTTTCCATGATGAAAACGGAGCAGTTATCAGGAAAGCTGGGGGCTGGCCGTGCTTCCTCAGCCTTCAACTTCATGTGCACTGTGTTGCCCATGAGGGACTTTCTGGCATGTGATTCATTATTTCAAAACTAGTGTTTCCAGCACTTACATTCATTATTTTATAGTGTGTGCATCATAGCATATAACCTTCCATTCAGATATGATACACTGCACCTATTGATTTTTGCACTTTGCAAATTTTGTATTAAGTCTTAGAAAATATTTATATTCTTTGAGTGTGAGCTTTGGATAGATGGCATTATCACTTTGTTTTTTTTTTCAACAACAAATCCTCTCAGTTATTCTAATGCAATGTTATTCTGAGCAAGTTCTATGGCAAATACCGTGTATAATGTTTGTTTAGAACAGTACATTTTACTCTGTGTGGTTAAGACTACTCAGCCCCTGACTTCATAGCTGGAATTCGATATTCCAGCACAAAAGTCCACAATGTATTCAGAATCCAAGTTGGTGTCATACATTTCATTTTGATGTGAACTTTTCTTTGCTTTTCTTTGTTCTAAGACTCCATTTTGCAATAAACGTTTTGACAGTAAATCCTTTTGTTATGTGTTGCTGTGTGTATAAGATCTTCATCAGATTGAATTTGCAACATGCTTTGAAGGAACCATTGTCACACATGCACATGAGTGCTACCTTTTGTCTCCTGGAGTCAGTCAGAGTGTAAATAATGAATTTCTAAAGTGATGGGGCAGTCATGAGGTTTTTGGTGTTTTTTTTTTAATCCCCAAAGAAAGGCAGAAAGGCTTAGAACTCATTCTGAGGCAGATACACTGATATGTTAACAAGGTACAGAAAACATAAAGGAAATGGTAAGCTACTATGTGGCTGGAGATCATTAACTCTCATCCCTGTCTTGCCAAATTCAAACGGATTTGCAGCAGTGGCCAGCTCCAACCTTCCTCTCACTGGTCTTTGTAAGCATCTCTCAGGCTCCTGCTGGAGGAGCAGGCTGTGTCAATGTCTTTTAGTACCTTTCCCCTGGCATCATATTGATAAACCAGCCTCAGAAGACAAGAGAGCTCTCTGCTCTTCTTGTCACCTTAAAACTAAAGATGTTGATTGTTTCCTTTACAACCTCAATAGAAGAAATGCAATCAAAACACCCACAAATACAGACACCCATACACACACACACACACACACACACACACACACACACACACACACCATATCCTATAAAAGCCAGCCTCAATAGAAGAAATGCAATCAAAACACCCACAAATACAGACACCCATACACACACACACACACACACACACACACACACACACACACACACACACCATTTCCTATAAAAGCCAGCCTTGACACAGGGAAACATTTCTGCTACTCAGTCTGGTGTTTCTTGAACTAATCAAAAAGTACCTCATTTCACATTGGTGTCTGTGATGGGAGAAGGGAATGACACATTCCTGCAGCTGTATCCAGCTGCCCTGCAAAGAAGTAAAACTTGTCATGTGTTCTCTTTAATCAAGTTCAGCTTTAGATTTGATCTCCTTGCGTCTTCTTGCCACATTATTAAAGCAGGTGAGTGTGTTTAATGATTCTTACATACCTCAAGTGTTTCAGATGAGGGAAGGGACACTTCCTGACAGAAGCACATGGGGAAAGAAGAGTATTTACAGGTGGAGTTAATCTAACGTGTATGCTGGCCTTGCATCCTAGCTTATCTCCACCACTCCAACCTTACACACTCAGGTTTAACAAAAGCAAAAATCATAGAAACAACAACAAAAATAAATTCTGCCTCATCCCCATAATTTGCATTATTACCCATTCTTCAACCATTGTTTTCCAGTTAAGCAAGTGTGCCACTCTCATTCTCTTCTTCCCATATTTTGCCTTCCTGCTTCTCTTCATGAATCACCTCTCTCTTCTGGTCCTGCTGTACCCAGCTTAAGCCACTGGCCTTCCAGTTCCTGAGAATATGTCGAAGAGCTCTTTGGGGAATCCATCAACCATTTAGACCTGACACTGAAGTCTGTAACAGAGATTTGGGCATTTTAGCACATACATCCTCCAGTTTCATTTATTCCACAAAGTGATCCAACAAAGGTGTACCAAGTGTGCACTAGGCAGTAGGTAAAAGCATGAAGGAAGTGTCTCGGGGATCCTCCATGAATAATTCATGCCTATCTCACCCTTGATTCTGCTAAAAGCAGCCTGCAGGGGCTCTGCCTTTCCTAGAAGGGCTTAGAACATGTGAATGTAAAATAAAGATCTAGGGTTAGAAAGATATGTCCAGTCACCCTTGGATTTTTACACCAATAATAAACACAACCAATTCATCAGCTTTGTTTTTAAAGTCAACCACCAAAAAGTATATTTATAACAGAGGTTGGGTGACTCATTGGCATGTTATCAGAGAATCAAATATATGGCAAGTTAATCTAATTAAAGCAAATGGCTGTGCTAGATGGATTCAATCCATAGGACACACAGATTCTATGTAAGCTTTTATTATTTAGACCATGATGAGGAGGTATATGGTGAAGTAAGAAGCTCTTTGGCTATGGAGATGATATGAGCAAAATGTTCTGTACAGTTTTCAATCCTGCTGGTGCCCTGGAAGGGAAGTAGATTAGTCTGTGTCAGAGCAACTCTGTACCTGGATTTCTTAGGATTATTCCATTTTTCACATGTTCCATGTGATCCATGGGTCCTGATATTTGGTTTTCTGAATATAACACAAGTGAGATATTTAAACACGTAGAAATTCTTCTATGAGATTAAACATGTAGCTGGCGTCCAAGTGTCTGCTTTGGGATAGTCATTGGTAGATGATCCTCATGTTGCTTAAAAATTCCTTGACTGCCAAGACCCTATTATGGTATGTACTACCATTCCTGGTAGGCTGTATAACAAGAGAAGAATATATCAAGTTGTACAAAATCTCTCCTGAAACAGTTCACAAGATTGATGTACATTATTGGCTTCTGGGGTCAGAACCTCAGAACACTGAGAACTTCCTCAGAAGGTCAGGGAAATTGTTTTCCATTTAACTTCACCTGCAGGAGCAGCGGCTGAGAGCTGAGTGAGGCCAGAGGATAAACCAAAAGGACAAGGATAATATTACTTCCTTTTTTCATTTCATTCATATCTCCCACGCAGCTGCTGCCTTCCTTTGAGATTGGTGCATGGACTGAAGACGACGTGGTAAGCTGCTCTGCAAATGCCTCATAGTACCTAGGCAGGTAGTCCACAAGCTTGAAAATGCAGCTACAGGGGCCTGGACAATAGGGAGGAAAAGTCTAAGCCAGGCACTGGTAGTTCATGGCTATAATCCTAGTCACTCAGAAGGCTGAGATCTGGGGATCACAGTTCAAAGCCAGCTGGGACAGGAAAGTCCTGAGAGTTTTATCTCCAGTATATATCAAAAAGCAGAAAGTGGAGCTATGGGTCAAGTGGTAGAGTGCTAGCTTTGAGCAAAAAAGCTCAAGGACATCCAAGGCCTGAGTTGAAGAAGAAAAAAAGTATCACTACCAGAAACTAACAAATTACAAATTCCTTTCTTTCTGTTGTTAATCCAATGATCATTGGGAATAACATCTTGAGAGCAAAGCAAGTATCTCTCAAATCTTAAAAGAAGATTTACCTTTCTATTGGCAGGGACAGTACTCCAATCACAAAATTTAAGTAGTGACTCAGAAAACCAAATGAACATACTTGGGAGGGAAAAAAAGATCTTAAGTTTTCCTAAGATGTCAGGTGTGGAAGGCTGGCATCATCTGTCTATTGCTTCTTCCCATCCACTGAGCCCCAGGTCCAACTCTCTGCCATATAGCTTACCATGGAAAGAGGACTTGTAGTTTCTTCTGATTTCCTTTATTCCCTTTCTCCTCAGCTGCAAAGGCCTATCTCCTTTGAAAAGAAATCATCTTAAAAGCATTGAGTTCCAATAGCTGTGTTTAGCTTTTGCTCTAACGTTGAATTGTTTCTAGGCCATTTAAATAAATTTCAGAGTTAAGGGACCCAGAGATTCAAAGAGACTGAGTGGCCTCCTACCTATATGCCTTCACCAGGTAATGTCAGAGGCCACAAGTGACCAGGTACCAAGTGAAACCCAAGAACTAGGATTGTCTGGGTCTTCCTACCTCACCAATAAGGACTGCTACACTGCCTTATCTGGGGCCATGTACATACCCTATGACCAGACAAACCCAGGACAGAGTCCTCATTCCATCCATTGCTGTATCCACTGATTAGTTCCTTGGCAATATAGCAATGACCTGTGCATATGTAGGGGGAAAAACACAGTAAAAACACTCTTAAAAAGACTTAAAATATCTCCCAAGGAAGTACTTCAAGTACTTCCCCTCCCCCACAGGAGAGATGGCTCCAGTTTGAAAAGTTGAGATTCTAAAAGAAGATTCTACAAGGAGAATTTTTTCCATCTTACATTTGCTCATAAACTAGGCAATAGATTTATATCTTTAATGTCTTGCAAACTGTGTTTTATGGTTAAGCAGAGCCACTGACTACATGTAAACCTTCCAAACCCTGTATGTCCTCTCTTCACAGTATTTTTGGGTTCAGCAACTCGTCAGACAAGGCAAGTGGAACAAGTTATCTTCTTATTCATGGAGTTAACTTTGTTGTGGATGTGATTTTTTTCTCTCATTCTCTTCTGCCTTCTGCCCACCACCCTCCCTGTTAGGTGACTCTTCGGTGGAGATGAGTGCCTATGCCAGCTTGTTCAAAGAAAACAACATCACAGGCAAGCGGCTGCTGCTTCTGGATGAAGAGGACTTGAAAGACATGGGCATTGTCTCCAAAGGACATATTATCCATTTTAAGGTACCTGGAAAGGAAAGCCACACCACTAACACATCTTTACTGCGTACCATGCTGACTTGGGATGGCTGAAATGCTCCATATCTGTCCATTACCAGCTGCTGTCCTATGTTGCCCTTACACCTGCTTCTTAATCCCACAACAAAGGAGGGGTGGAGTTGGGATGGAGGAGGCTTCAGTGAAGAAGGGATGAAGGCTGTGAGAGCCTGAGGCAAGTAGGCATTAACCAGGTGAAGGGGTAGGGCAGTAGGTATCCTGGGAGACGCTGCCTGGGGAAAGCCTGCACATGGGAGAAAGCTCAGTGGGCAGAAAGATTCTGAGGTTTGTTTCAAGAGAGATCTTACACGAAATAAAGATCTAATTGGCTTTCTAAACCTTCCTACTTCCAGTGTGGATGCATGGGGGATTGCAGATTAGAAAGCAGAGAAATCAAAAGAGGAAACAGAAAAACCAGTTTCCCATCATACCCAAACCTTCATAAAGGCTCTGCTCGCATGCCAACTAATTTCCCTTCCCTTCAGAGCTATTCACACTAGTTTCCTTGAAAATTCATCATTAAGGTTCAAAGATAACCTATTCACTTTATTCCACAGACCCCAAATCTATGTAAGAATTGGTATTTGGGGTTTTTTTTTTTTCACTACTGGGCCTTGAACTCAGGGCCTCATGCTCTGCTTGGCTTTTTTGCTCCAGGCTGGTACTCTACCATTTCTACTTCAGTGCTTTTAGCTGGTTAATTGGATCTAAGAGCCTCATGGATTTTTCTTCCTGGTTGGTTTTGAACCACAAATCCTTAGAATTCAGCCTCTTGAGTAGCTAAGAATATAGGTATCATCACCAACACACAGTAAGTAATCATCTTTGTAGACCCTAAGCACCTTTTGGAAACAAACTTGTCACTGAACCACCGGAGACCATTTCTAAACAAAGCAGGACCTTGGTACCCATGCTCTCCTACATGCTGAGCACAAAAACTCAAACATATATATATATATAGATAGATAGATAGATATAGATATAGATATGGCTATCAAAGAATTGAATCTGCACCTCTAGATATGGGCAAGTCCATCCCAAAACATAATGCTAGCTTAGTGAGCCACAGTAGGAAAAATTATTTTCTGCAGTACAAAGAAGATTCAGACTTCTACAAAGAGAAATTTTATAAATCTTATCCTGTTAGGCAGATGTCCCTATCTTTCTATTCCCTCTGTGTCTTTAAAAATAGACCAATATTCCTTAGGGACCAGTTAGGGGAAAAGAGGGTGGCAAACTATAACATACATCACAAAACCATTAGGGCTTTACATACTCCCGGTTTGGCTGAGGACAACCCTTTTAATGTTGGTTGGTATCATTAAGACAAACAATATCCACTCTTATTTTTTATATTCAACAAACTCAATGATCACCTATTAATTGTAAGATTGGGATTGTGAAAATTGAAGAATCATTTTGCCCTTAAGGAATTAAGGGCATTAAAAAAATTAAGGATTAAAAAAAAAGTATGTGTTCAAATTCTCATGAGCCAGGTGGAAGAAAAAGAATGGTTCAGCCAGGTGCCAGTGGCTGATGCCTGTAATCCTAGCTACTCAGGAGGCTGAGATCTGAGGATCATGGTTCAAAGCCAGCCTGGGCAAGAAAGTCCATGAGACTCTTATCTCCAATAAACCACTCAGAAAACTGGAAGTGGCGCTGTGGTAGCGTGCTTGCCTTGAGCTGAAGAGCTGAAGGAACAGCACCCAAGCCCAGAGTTCAAGCCCCACAACCAAAAAAAAAAAAAAGAAGAAGAAGAAGAATGGGACAGTGGAGTGACATGGAATGCAGAAACTCCAAGAGCAGTTTTGAGACAGATCTTTGAGGAAAGACAGAATTTGGAAGGTAGACAGGAGTGTAGGAAGACAGAGAACTTTTAGGGAAGAGAGAAATGGAAGGGAATGAAGAGCAGAACAGATTGCTTCCATTCCCAGGAGCAGTGGATGGCTTGCTCTGTCTGTTGGAAGCCCAGGTGGAAAGCAGAGCTCAGGATAGATGAAGTAGAAGAAAGATGGAGCCTCATTCTGGACTGCTTCCAACCTCAGGCTGGAGGTTTGGAACTTGACCAGAGCTAAAACATATGGAAACTTGACAAGTGTTTAAACATTGCTTCTAGAAGTTTTAACATGGTTTCAAAAGGACGGACTGAAAAATCAGTTCTAGTAGAGTGGTGTTACAATAGAGTAATGAGGCCTGGCTCCTGAGGGATGGAGCACCCCAGTGGGTTCATGAAGCAGAACACAAGGAGAGGTGCAGTGCTTGTATAATCCCGGAAACACAATGCTCCATGAAAGAAATCAGGCACCAAGGGTCACACCTGGAAGAGATTTAGACAAGGTAAATCATAGTGATAGAAAACCCATCGGTGATTGCCGAAGGTTGGGGCAAATAGGGAAAAGGCAGTGGATACTTCATGCGGACAGAGTTCTGTGGGCTGGTGGAAATGTTTTGGAATTCATTGTAGAAGGAGAGTTTGTACAGTACTGTAAAGGTGCTTGATGCTGCTGAGATGTTCACTTTAAAGTGGTTCATTTTATGTTGTGTTAGTTTTCTTCCATTAAAAAAAAACATATGGACTGGGTGGGCATTGGTGGCTCATGCCTGTAATCCTAGCTAACCATGAGACTGAGGTCTGAGGATCCCAGTTTGAAGCCAGCCCAAGCAAAAAAAAATCCATGAGACTCCAATAAACTACTAAAAAAGCTGGACGTGGAGCTCAAGTGGTAGAGTGCTAGCCTTGAGCAAAAAGAAACTCAGGGATAGAGCTCAGGCCCTGAGTTCAAGCCTCAGGACCAGAAAAAGAAAAAAAGAGAAAAGCTGTATGCCAGTGGCTCATGACTGTAATTCTAGTTACTCAGGAGGCTGAGACTGAAGATCCAGGTTCAAAGTTGGCTGGGGAAGGAAAATTCATGAGACTTTTCCAGTGAACCACCAAAATAAAAGGCCAGAAATAAAACTGTGTCTTAAGTACTAGAGCACCAGCTTGAGCAAAAAAGCTAAGGGACAGCACCCAGGCCCTGAGTTCAAGCCCTAATACTGGTATGTACACGTGCATGCGCGCATGTGTGCACACAGACACACATATGCACAGGAGGAAAGCACAGTTATACTTAGAACTGTGGCCAAAAGCAGTCATTTTCCTACCGTGAACTTTCTTTGGAGAATGGTGAGCCTTAGAAAGACTCATACAACAAGAAAGGTCAGAGGAGCCTATGCAGGGGAGAGAAAGGAGAACAGCACCTGTCCAGAAAGTGGGGAATAGGGAGGAAGTGGTGTTTGGAAGTCAGGTTGGAATGATCCACAGAGTTGAGGGTTACAGAGAAGCCCAGCAGCTTGGGGAGAAGAACCATTGTGAGAATCTATACTCAGGTGGGGTCTCACCATGACCCAGAAAATCTAACCCAAGTGCCAGAGAACAGGGCAACCAGCAGCTAGAGGTACCCAAGACTTCCCTTGAACCCCTGGATATAAAGACAAGTAATATACAGAAGTGTGGGTCTCCATGGTCAGGGGGAAGGACCTCTGCCTCACTGCCTAGCTACAGTACGAAAGGAGCTGCAGGTGGGGCTCCTTTTACACAGCTGAGCATGGTGTTTCTGCCATGTTTTATGGGAAGAAGAAGCTGAAGGAGAAGGGATGGACAAGCGCTCTTGAAACCTTACATATATACAGGACAGGATGAAGAAACTGGGTCGTTGGGATACTGCTTCATGAGTATACTAGACTAAAGGAGCACCCTGCTAATGCTTATCAGAACTCATTCATTCTCTCTTCCAGTAATTCTCTGTAAAACACACACACACACACGGGAAGGACAGACATAGCTTTTTGCCTTGCTCTTTCAATAAGGAAGGCAGAGTCTCCATCATTAGATACTTTCTCCAAGAGTTTCTGGCCCCAAGAAATCATGATAAAACCACAGACTAACATAGCATATCTACCATCCTTTGACTAGCCAGTATCCAGGTTGGCTCTGTTTTTGTTCCGATCAGCTCACAGGAAAGAGAACTGATACTGGATGAATACAAAGTCTCATCATTTACATTTCCTCCTCTCCCAGAAGATGTCTTTGTGCATTTGCTTCCTTTCCACGGGAAAGCCCTCATGACACACTCAGCCCTTCTGTGAGATGGAACCCTCCCTGGCCATCTCTGCTGTTCTCTCCCTGTGCTTTCGTGTTCTTCCCAGTTACTCAGAGTCTATATACTACAACATTAACTTGTCACTATTAAATAAATTTTTAATTTGTGCCAGAATTGAGACTTGAACTCAGGGCCTGGATGTTGTCTAAAGGATGAATTTATTGAATGCTTAGTCTAAGGTTTAACATATTTAAAATACTTTCTTGCTCCCTTAAGTTAATACAAACTACCTGGCCTGGGTCTGGGAAGGTGGCTCAGTGGTAGAGTGCTTGTCTTGCATGCATGAGGCCCTGGGTTCGATTCCTCAGCACCACATAAACAGAAAAAGCCGGAAGTGACTCTGTGGCTCAAGTGGTAGAGCACTAGCCTTGAGCTGAAGAGCTGAGGGGCAGCACCGAGGCCCAGAGTTCAGGCCCCACGACCCACCAAAAACAAAAACAAAACAAAACCAAAAAAAACTACCTGTCCTATTTTGAAACCAGGTGTGTGTTCAAAAAGATGATGGATATTAATGTCCCCATAATACTTTATGAACCACATGGAATGCTTTTATATATGTGCCAAAGATTTTAATTTTTTTCCCAGTATTATTGAATCATTAATAAAGTCATGTGTTTTTTGTTAACAGTCAGCCATTGAGAAACTGACCCACGATTACCTGAACTTGTTTCACTTCCCGCCTCTAATTAAGGTAAGGCTTTTTCCTTACTGAGAGCACGGTTACCTTTATTAACCCATGCACCTGCACATCCACACCTCACTTTGCCCAGGTGGGAAACTTGTGTTTGAAGTGAATCTAACTGTCTAACAAAAGGCCCTTTCAAGACTAGGATGCTATAAACTGAACACACTTGTTCCTCATGAGTTAGAATATTAACAACACATTTATGATAGGAACTGCACATCTCTCCTTCAGGGCTGAGACATCTAACTGCCCTCCATTGTTGTGAGGAATTGGGCCTCTCACCTGGCTCTACACACTGTAGGAATTCACACACCAGAGGCTCTGAATTATCACTTGCCCTGGAGGGGTGGAAGGTTTATTGTATAGACGAGATATTAATATACAGTATCTCCTATCTTTGGACACTATGTACCAATACCCTTTGTGGAGGTTTGAAACTGAGATCAGTTTCAAACCCACTGGTACTGTTTTCCCTTATATACATGGCTATAATAAAATTTAATTTATTAATTAGACATAGTAAGAGATTAACAGCAATAATTAATACTAAAATAGGCAGCTCTTATACACACACACACAGACATACTTGCTAGCAGCTGTACAATTCTTCATTGAAAAGAATTTATAAATACCTTCAGACTCAAGTTGAAATCTTACAAGGGACCTCCAGATACAATGTTCATTGCCCCAAAGTGTGTGAAAGAAATCATTTGGCAAAGTTTTTACAGGCTTGATAGGTCATTTCTCTTGTTCTGTGTAGTTTGAAATTGTGGCTTAATCCAGAAATAACCAAAAGTTAAAAAACTGATCCAAAAGGCCAAAAGGGTTCTACTTTACAGAAGCAGTCAAAGTAAAAACCTCACATTAAATAAATGATGCTGGGTTTTCTGTTTTAGGACTCTGGGGGTGAACCTGAAGAAAATGAGGAAAAAATAGTGAACCTTGAACTTGTTTTTGGTTTTCACTTGAAACCAGGAACTGGCCCACAGGTAAATTATATTTCAAATCCTTTGGGGGAAATTTCAATCTAATTTATTCCACTGAAACAATCAGTCAACTGGCACTGTGATTCTGAGTGAACTTACAGACTTTATAGAATAAGATTTAGCTAGCAGTCTAGGAATCCTGTCTTCTCCAATGGGGAAGAATGCTGCGAGAGACACCAAGGCAGTGCACAGCAAAGCCCTGGTAGGGATGGAAGTGGTGGGTCCCATAGGGTGCTGCTCCTGGTGCCTGTTTCCTAAAGGAAATCAGCAGCAAACCAGCACTGAGACTGGAGCTCTGGGCACTCTAGAAACACAAATTATCAGCTTCAAATAGGGTGTCAGGGCATCTGATCAGAACTCATTCGGAGGCTTGATCTTTATGTGATTTTTAAGAGTCAGGGAGAAAAAACGACTTGTCTAGGTAGCATGTGCACAAGAATTTTAATAGGTCTCTGTTACTGTAGAGCACCATAAATAGCAATTAATAGTGTAACGATTAATTGACCAATTATGGTGTGTGAGGCATGGAGTACCAGTGTGTAAATGCTGTCTTCCCCTATTTCCAAATGTGGAAATGAGGTTTGCAGAGGTTAAATGTGTTGCTCAAAGGTTATCTGACTAGCAGAGTGTCAGCCGCTGTCTCCCCAGGACCCCAGCTCTTAATTCCGATATTCTTTATCTTTCCTTGAGGGTCAAGAGAGCTTATGAACACAGTTCCTCATTCCTGTAGATGGTTTCTAGGGGGAAGACTTCAACAGGCTCCACTGGACCATGGGCCATGCTTACCCAAACATGCTTTCCCCAGACCAGTGCTGGTGCTTGGGGATTGGGAGTTGTTGGAGAGTTGAGTTTCACCTGGATCTATAAAAGATGCTCTATCTAGACCCCTGTGGGGAAGTCTCACCTGCCCAATTGTAGCTGCATTGATGCCTCCCCTGCCCAATGGAACATGTGACCTCCCCTGATCTCAAGGTGTTTCTTGGCACATGGTTGAAGGAATGCTATTCTGAATCCAGGCTTGAGTCACCCTGTATGCATTCCAGAAAGGGGGCCAGAGAGGAACTTTCTCTCTGTAGCAATATCAAAGGGGTCTTTCTAATCCTGAAATTTGTAGCTGTGGGCACCCTTGAGTCCATCTGATATAAACCATTGTAGTTTGCCTTCTTTGGTATCCTTAGCTCCATGGTGCTTCATTTATGAGTTCTCTTTGTTCTAACCTTTTCATGGCTTATAGGTCATAAAAAGAGAAAGAAGAATTTCCTTGAGAGAGAACACAAACAAAAAATGTTTTCAATTAAGGAAGAAATGATTTATTAATGGAAGCTGAAAATACATATTATTTCTTATTATTTCTTTAAAGCAATTTTATTGTAAAGGTGATATACAGAGGGGTTCCAGATACATAAGTCAGGTATTGAGTACATTTCTTTTTGAACAGTGTCGTCTCTTCCCACATTATCTCCCAGTTTTTTCTCTCCTGAGCCCTCTCCCCTCCAAGTTGTATAGTTCATTTTCAACATAGTGTCTAAGGAGTATTACTGCTGAATTAGTTCACCCTTTTTCCCACCATTTCTGGGGTTCCTCTTCCTCTCCCCAAATCAGATAAACTTACATACAAGACAAAAGGTGCCGAAAACAAAAACAAAAGGGGGGCGGGACAAGCGCTGGTGGCTCACGCCTGTAATCCTAGCTACTCAGGAGGCTGAGAGCTGAGGGGCACAGTTCAAAGCCAGCCCGGGCAGGAAAGTCCGTGAAACTCTTATCTCCAGTAAACCACCAGAAAACCGGAAGTGGTATTGTAGCTCAAGTGGTAGTGCGCTCGCCTTGAGCTGAAGAGCGCAGGGACAGCGCCCAGGCCCAGAGTTCAAGCTTCACAACCAACCAAAAAAAGGGGGGGGGACAGAAAAGAAAGAAAACCTACAGAAAGTAAAATTAAAAACCTCTTGTTTCCATTTCTTGGAATTCATTTTGATAAGAATCATTTTATATGATCATATGCACATAGCTATTCAGCCCTCTCCTAAGAATATCCTCTTTTGTTCTCATTGTGTGAAATGTTTAGAGTCCTGTTTACCATGTCCAGGTGTAATTTTTTGTCTTTTACTATCTATTGGGTTTAAAAATCAGAGACTATTGATGATATTTGGGACAAAACACAATGATCAATTTTAATATAATTTTATAGACATCTTCAGGCACTTATTTGTTATGCACAAATATATTGCTATAACTTTTTATGTTTTCCTGTCCTGGGTCACTTAGCTGGAAGAATAATTTCATGCATTCATTCAGCAGACAATTGCTGAGCCCTTACTATGTTCATGGCTGTAGACTAGATTCTCAGAATACAGAGTCAACCTGTGCAGTCTGGGCTTACAAGAAGCCCATAGCTTATTGGGAGAAACAGACAAGTGAGTAGTTAAAGTTCAGAAAGATGCATTTTCTCAATGCCTGAACATTATTGTGTGGGGTGAGAATGGGGTGAAGTCTGGGTAGAAGTAATGCTTAAACTAAACATTAAAACTGGGTGCTGTTGACTCACACCTGTAATCCTAGCTACTCAGGAGGCTGACATCTGAGGATCACAGTTCAAAGCCAGCCTAGACAGAAAAGCCCATGAGACTCTTATCTCCAAATAATTACCGAAAAAGTTGGAAGTGGTGCTGTGGCTTAAGTGGTAAGGTGCTAACCTAAGCAAAAGGAGCTCAGGGACAGTGCCCAGACCCTGAATTCAAGCACCAGGACCAGGGGTAAAAATTGAAAACCACTAGGATTTGCTAAGTAGGGAGAGATGTTAAAGGCAAAGAAACTGTGTATGTAAAATCTTAGATACACAAAGCCAGGCAAACCCAGTGAGCTCTTTTGGGGTTCCTTTCAATAGGCCCTACAGCACAACTCAAGCATCCTAACCCTAGAAAGACTTAGCAAGAAGCAGGAGAGTAGTGTGCTGAGAGTTAAAGCCAGAAACAACAGCAACAACTATCTTTTGTGCTGGGCTTAGGAGTTTGAAAGATTTAAGCAGAGTCGACAAGACTCAATTTAGCTTTCTAGACCATCTCTTAAAGGCAAGAGGAGTATAAGATGGGAAGGGACCAGGCTAGAATGAGAAAGACCTGAGAGTAAACAGAGATGGCAAATAGATTCCAAGAATGTAGGAATGAGGCTGTCACAGTGCTACAGTTCCTGGGATCTACTGAGAGAGAACTGATGAGATTTGTCACTAGCAGAAAATGGGGTGAGTGAGAAGGAAATGCCAGGATTGGACCTAAGGTTTCTAGATAGGTAGTATTATGACAGATCAGAAGTAAACTATCTTATGTGAATGCAGTACTAAGGAGCTGAAAGCAAAGAAATGACACGTTAATCAGGAAAAGCTTTTTGGAAGGGATGAGCATTGAATTGGAGCTTGAAGAGGTTGATAGACAATTGCAAACCAATTGTCAGAAGATAATGTTTCAAGCTTATGTTTAGGGAATACTTCCTCCTAACGGTGTCAAGATTTTACGAATATCATCTCATTGATCCTCTTGGCATCTGTATGAGATGCAGAAGGCACAACATTGTCATCACTGATTAGGAAATAGATAACAAGAGAAAGGGTGTGACCAGCCTAGTGTGGGGGGCGGGAGAGAACAGAGCTAGGCCAGAAATAAAGGCTTTATTTCTGTGTTTTGAACATGTGTTAGCCCTGATACCTGATCTGTTAATCCATCTGTAAACTTAAATAAAACAGTATTGGAGTAGATCACTGGGCATTTCTAAGCTACCCAGTCATGTCAAGGGATAGCCTTATAAAATACTTGCTCACAAAAGTGCTGTGTATGAAAACTCTGTTACCTTGATCCTTAAATGTAGGACACACACACACACACACACACACACACACACACACACACATTCCCACACTCAAGGACTCCCTCAAAATCCCAGCTAACTGAGTTCTTATGAGCCATCTTCACAGAAAAAGTGAAACATTATGCCCACTCTACCTATAACTAAGATAAGCCTGACAAGTCTTACAGTTGCAACTTTGGAAATTCTCCTCAGACCTAAGAGTTTCAGATCAGAGACATTTGCTTATTGCAAGTAAAACTAAAGGTGTATTCTACTGGGAACCACTCACTGGGCCTAGTGTATGAAAGTGACTTAAATGAAGATGGCTACTTTTCCTCTTTACCTCTGACAAGGCCCGCCAGGCAACTACCTCTTAAGAGTACTATGCTGGGTCAGTAACTTTAAGTCTACCAAGACAAAACAATGAAAATATTACAACACAAAGACACAAATAGATGATGAGGAAGAGCCCTTTTGTTGTAAGATCAACCTTTTCTAAAAATCCAGTATAGCCCATGCCTATAATCCTATTTAGAAAGCTGACATCTGGAGATCACAGTTTGAAGCTAGCCTGAACAAAGAAATCCACAAGCCTAGTATCTTCTGTGAAACAGCAAAAAAAAAATACAACTGGAGGCCTGGCTCAAGTGGTAGGACTCCAGTGGTGAGAGGAAGAAAGGAGGGAGGGGGAGAAGGAAGGAAGGAAGGATAGAAGGAAGGAAGGAAGGAACTTTAAAGTTTAAATTATTTTTCTCAGCTATTACCTTACAACCAGATGGTTTATGGCACAGCTGAAGCTGGTTTGCAGAAGGTTGGAAAGCCCTCTCTGCTGCAGAAGGCAAAGGTCACTGCAGTGACACGTTGCCCAGGATCTGAATCTTTACAGCTACACTTCTCCAGAGAGCTGGATCTGACCTCACACCATAGTCACTCACTTCTCCCCAAAACAAAATGTCCTTTTCCATTACCTTTTGTCAGACAACCAACCGGCAGGGAGGAAAAATCATGATTGAGCCAAAGACTACATGGGAAATTTCAACTAATAAGTAGCTTTTCCCCTGTTACTTGATGTGTTTCTAAAGAATAAAGTTGTTTGTTTAAATAGCACTGTATATTAAGATAGCCTACAAGTTATGGCAATTGAATCGGCAGAAATTGAATCTTTCTCT